ATAAAATAAAATAAAATAGATCAAATAAAATAAAATAAAAAAGAAAGTCAGTTAGGTGTGGCTTATAATAGAGCAAAACTCCCATTGGTATAAACTCTCAATATTTTAGCCTACTAAAAGCCATACTGTAAAATAGTGTATAATCCCCAACTCATTCGCATTGGGTTTTAGAATTTATAGAATACTCTTTTATATCTAGCTTGTCCTTTTAATTATTTGTTTCTCGTGTTAATAATAAAACTTGTCTGAATAACATATGATTGGACAATTCTTGAGAACAAAAACCATATCTTACTCATTTTGAAACAACCAAACACTTAGCCCATTGCCTTGCATATGGTAAGTTCCAGACAAATGTGAATGAATACATCTTTGGATCAGTGATGAAAGATACAGACACTGAAAAGAAGCTTGACCAAAGCAATCAAAATCAAAAATCATCAATATGTTTTCATTTAAAATTATGAATATTTTGATATTGAGTCCCACAATATAAAGAAGTCAGAAATCATCCACTTTCTCAGGCCATCCATTAGAATGAACCATTTTAACCTAAATGATAATCCAAACTTCCAAATGAATATTTTTTATTAGTGTATTATAATAAGCTGCTTAATAAAGGAAGGCTTATTTTGGTTTTCCTCTTCAGACTCATGACTCTAAACAGCTTAGAAAAGATCCTTAAATATTCTTTTGCTCATTTATATTGTCATTTTGTTGCAGGCACATGTCCAACAAAAGAACAATTTTTTTGACTGTACTGAGGGGGAGCCATGGAATCTGATTCAAAGAATTTTAGAAGGATTGATGATTAGCTATTTTTAAACAATATGTGTGTGTTTTAGCCAAAGATACAATAGAAAGGTAAAATTTGCTATATAGGTGTAGATTCCTTAACAAATAAGTGAAGCAAATTATAATCTGGTTCTCTACTAAAAATGTATTTTCTTTTAACCATCCCCAATTGCACAAATAATACATTTATGGTATAAAGGGAACTTTTTTTTTCTTTTTTATTTTTTTTATTGCAGGGTCGCTGCGTCCCCTCCTAGGCTACAACCTCCCACCTCCCACCCCAGCGGCCGGTGCTAGGTGGGGAATTTTTTAAATCTTGAAGAGATTTTGTTAAAAATATGTATTTTAAATAAGGACATTTTCCTTATTATATAATTACATGTTAGCAATAACAACTTAGAACAGTTACACAATTATATCTCAGATCTGTAAAAACATGAAAATAATAATGTATGAACTGCTAACCTTGAGATCTCATGAATGCCAGTATCTTCCTGAAGATTATGCCTCTGAAGACATCTTTTCAGTCTGTTGATATCTCCTTATTTTTTCCTTAAAAAAAGAGATTTGTTTCAATATGTTATATTTTCAAACAGTAAAGCTGACTACAAAATGTAAATATGACCTAGAGAAAAATCAATAGAAATCTTGGAATATAAATAAGGCATTAAATATAGTGTGGAATAATTGTACTACACATAATTTAGTGCAGAAAGAATATTCATTCTAGAAGAATGCAGTAAATTTCTAATAATTTACAACAATTTTCATTCATTTACTTACTTGTTATTTAATCAAATATTTCTATGAACAAAAAGTTAAAGTCCTTCTATCTTACTAATTGGTATTACGCTAGATTTAAGTCTAGAAGATTCATATCTTCGAAACACACAAAAATCAAGGAAAATTAACCAAAATGTTACAGCTATATAGGTGATGACAATCACAATGAATATTTATTATATTTTGGGGGGTTTACTTAAGGAATTTAATTCTAAAATTAACTGAAATATTTGTATATTCAGGTTTTAAGATAACTTAGACTTTAATAACATAATTTAAACACAAAATTCTTTAACATAAACATGATTTAAGAAAAATCTTGTTTTTTAAAATTGCAGTGCCATAATTCACAATGATTAATGCAAATATTTAAAGAGGTGATAAAAACCTGGTAGTAATTATACACTTTTACTTTCCTAGATTAAAATGTATATAATCAATTTTTCTAAAGAATTAATAAACTTTCCATTCTAATATGTTAGGTCATGTCCATATACATTGTAAAAATGTAGAGAACCTTGGAAAATGTGGTTCATTTATTGTCTTTCTACAATACTCAGAGATGAACTATCACTGATCATAGCCAATACCAATAGCTGGTGTAGGAATACCATAAATCGGTTACTTAAATGAAGAAATAGGCTCAGTAAGCAACTTATACTGATGTCAGTTTTATTCTTTTATATCTTAAAACTCTTGAGAACATTACCCTCAAATGATGGCATGTAAAGACCACTGAAGCAATAACTTACATCACCTATTGCACTCACTTTGAAGAATAGTTTAGCACATAACTTTTCTGCCTTCTCTGTTAATGATACATATCATGAGATTGCAAGTCAAGCAATTAAAAATCAATGAACAAGCATGCTAACAGATCTCTTCCTTCTCATAATGTGTCCATTAAATACAAACTTTAAAATATTATTTGCAAAATTACAACAAAATACTAAAAATAAATTACATACTGCATTACATATGTCTACAAATGTCATTTATAATCTGAAACCATTTCTTGTTAATGAAAATTAATTCTATTATTTAAATATCATTTTTACCTGTTGAGATATCATTTAAAATTTTATCCCTTCAAAATAAGTTTTTGCTGCTATAAAAATATGGGGAAATTGCTACTAGTTCAATTTCCCTATGTTACAAATAAGGAGACTTACTACTACATATTTGTGACATGTAGCTAAATCTAAAGAAAGAAATTAAGATTTTTTATTATCTACTGTTAAAATTAAAATAAAAAATAATTGTATTTTACAACCAAATAAATAAAGTATTTTATTTAGGCATTTAAGATAGTCTATTGAGGAAAGCAAAAATATTGAGAAATCTAGTGATCTAAATTTACATACCTCTAATTAGCCTGTAATTTACACAGAGGCCAAGGAACCATTGGTGTTAGGAAAAAGGGATTCAAACTCTGACCTGTTGGAAGGTCAAAGATATAAAAATATATCTGATGGACAGAGCTGACCCTAACTGAGGCCAGTGAAGCCCCTGGGAGGGAGTTCATCACAAAGGAAGAAGAATTCTGAAAGAACATGTCATAGTCAATGCAAAGTTCCAAGTATTGGGGATGTGAGGATCGACGCTAGTACTTGGCACAATGTGTAGTAGTTGATGCTGGAAACCATTTCAACCCAGCACCTTGGTTCTGTGAATGTGATTCAGAGGCATTGGCTGTGTGAAACTGTGTGAGGAAGTTCTGCGTACACATGTGAGAAAGAGAATTTGAAGAGTTGTGGTGCTAAGATATCTAGGTCATTAGCACTTGCTCTGAGACCCAGGCAACTCTGGAGAGGTATAATCCCCAGATCTAAGGGCTTTTCCTTTTCCTTTACAAGCCTTTTGGGCCCATCAGAGGCGAATTACACAGGATTGGTGGAAACTGTCATTTTCCTAGAAGCCCATGTTTATGGGGTGGTCCCAACCTGAGTTGGATATCCCCAGCATAGCCTATTATATCACTACTTGAGTGGGACCCTGGTCCCATGGATTGTCTCAACAGTGACAAGTGTTATCTGGGACAGATTTGTGGATATATGTTACCATCCCATATACTATGAAAAATATTCAAGGAGGGTGACATTTATAAAATACTAAGAACATGTACAGTAACGTAAATGTAATGCTATTCGTCCTCACAAATTTTTTTAGTGCTCATCAAAAGAACCCCAGTTTCTGATTATGAATTCTATGAAAAAGAAAACATACACGAACCTGTGTTATCATTTAGAAATGTCCATCTAACACTTATGGTTCGTATCTGGTCTTTTCTGCTATCTGGGTTCAACTGAGAAATTCCCTGCAAACCAGTTTTTCACTTTCAGAAATTCCTGCAATATTGCAGGGCTAGAGAGAGAGGTGAGCATCACTTCTTGCTCCAGGCCCCTTGGCTTCCTGGTTGCCCCTGGACATTACTGCAAATCACCCTTAGTCCCAGCAGCCATGCACAATGGCAAGGGTCGAGTCACTCTTCCATGTTTATCAACATTGTCTCCAAAGGGCACCGTTAGTAGGTCAGTGTTGCCATATCTTAATCAATAGTCATGCTAGACTTCACTGAGGTCATTAAAGGTCACATCAGCCATGAGTGAGCTATAACTTCAGCTGTGTTGTTTTTAATGGATGATTCAATGATTAACCCTAAGGAAATATAACTTGTTTGAAACACTCCTATCTTCTTCCTGTCTTTAGTGTTTTGTTTTGTTTTCCTGACAAATGCTGGGGGTTTTGAGAATAAACTTGTTAGAGAATCACAGAATTTGAGGCTCCCCACCCCAGCTGATCACTTCTACATGTCTGGAAGCATGGCTCATATCAGTCTATGAACGTAACTGAAGAAATGTGAAATTGCTGTTCAGTGTTTCTAAAGTGATGAGAAGATTTTTAAGTTCAGTATAATAGTTTAATTGCATTTGTTACTGCATCTCAAACTATAATATTGCATCATTACTATGCCTGCAACCAGCAAAAGCATCATTCACTCTGAAGGACAGCTTCCTGACTAAAGCAAAGGACTTAGAGCAAACAAATCTAGCAGGAAAGATAAATCTGAAATGTAAAGTCTGACCCTATTTTTTAAGGGAATAAAACCCACTGACAATCATACTGATTCTATTTAGAATTATTTCATTAGTAACAATTCCATTCCAATTTCATACCTTCATACATGCTGAAGTGCAGTTATCAAAATACTAGAGGCCCGGTGCACAAAAATTTGTGCACTCGGGGGAGAGAGGGGGTCCCTCAGCCCGGCCTGTGCCCTCTCGCAGTCTGGGACCCCTCAGGAGATAATGACCTGCTGGCTTAGGCCTGCTCCCGGGTGGCAGAGGGCAGGCCCAATCCCTAGGTGCAGCCCCTGGTCGGGCTCAGAGCAGGGCCGATTGGGGAGTTGGGGCGCTGCCCCCTGTCATGCACAGCGCAGGGCGAACCGGGAGGTTGCGATGCCACCCTCAGTCACACTCAGGGTACGGCCCCCTGTCACACACAGAGCCGAAGGGCAATCAGGGGGTTTCGGCGCTGCCCCCTGTCACTCACAGAGCAGGGCCCGGGGGGGGGGGGGTTGGGGCACCGCCCCCTGTCACACACAGAGCCGAAGGGCAATCAGGGGGTTTCGGCGCTGCCCCCTGTCACTCACAGAGCAGGGCCCGGGGGGGGGGGGGTTGGGGCACCGCCCCCTGTCACACACAGAGCCGAAGGGCAATCAGGGGGTTTCGGCGCTGCCCCCTGTCACTCACAGAGCAGGGCCCGGGGGGGGGGGGGTTGGGGCACCGCCCCCTGTCACACACAGAGCCGAAGGGCAATCAGGGGGTTTCGGCGCTGCCCCCTGTCACTCACAGAGCAGGGCCCGGGGGGGGGGGGGTTGGGGCACCGCCCCCTGTCACACACAGAGCCGAAGGGCAATCAGGGGGTTTCGGCGCTGCCCCCTGTCACTCACAGAGCAGGGCCCGGGGGGGGGGGGGTTGGGGCACCGCCCCCTGTCACACACAGAGCCGAAGGGCAATCAGGGGGTTTCGGCGCTGCCCCCTGTCACTCACAGAGCAGGGCCCGGGGGGGGGGGGGTTGGGGCACCGCCCCCTGTCACACACAGAGCCGAAGGGCAATCAGGGGGTTTCGGCGCTGCCCCCTGTCACTCACAGAGCAGGGCCCGGGGGGGGGGGGGTTGGGGCACCGCCCCCTGTCACACACAGAGCCGAAGGGCAATCAGGGGGTTTGGGCGCTGCCCCCTCTCACGCTGATCCCGGTGCCGGGAGGCCTCGCAGCTCCGCTGATCCCGCCCGGCAGGGTCACAGATCCGTGTCCCAGACCGCAGACAGCCTTGCCTGCTGCCACCTGCCTTCAGTATGCAAATTAGCCGCCATCTTGTTGCTTCAGGGTGGGGGTCCCGACTGGGGTGCCTGGCCAGTCTGGGTGAGGGGCTGAGGGCCGTTTTCAGGCTGGCGAGCGACTGAAGCTCCAAACCTCTCCTTTTTTTCTTTTTTTTTTATTCTGGCATTTATTTAGCTTCTATGGCTGTCCCTGGAGCTGAGAGCTGGCTTTTTCTCTGAGGCTCGGCTGCTGAAAGCAGGGTTCTGGCCTTTGTTTTCTGTATTCGAAACAATGTTGCGACTCCAGCTCTGAGATCCCGGCTGACTGACAGGAGGTTTCTGGGGTTTTGTTTATCTTCTATAAGTGTTACAATGTTTCCAACTGAAGCTCAGAGGCCAGCAAGGCAGGCGGGGAACGTTGGAGTCCTCTGTCACTGAAGGAAGCAA